GTCCTGTAATCTTCAAGATGACAATGATTTCATTTAGCTCCCGCAGTCTCCAGTTAGACACATTAAACGTCCCAATCACCTTAAACCCGACCATCAGTGGACAATCATTGGATGAAAGTGAAAATGAAGACCTGTTCTTGCCCTGGAGAGCCTACATAACTCCCAGACACTTCATAGGTTTATCTGTGATTTAAACTCTGAACAGAGAGAGCCTGTTTACTTCATGGCTGCTGCCGTCTATTCTTTTACTAATTTGGAAGTCTTTAACAAGGGTCCGCGACCCCTAGGGGGTCCACAGAGGCACTGCATGGGGTGTGTGAAAGTTTTGGTTGATTAGACTATTCCCCCCTGTAAATTTGTCCACTAATTGAAATGTCTTTGAATCCACATTAACATGAATTCAACACACTGTAGTAAACAGATAAATGGAGGCAGAAGATGTCTTTCAGTCATAAATGCACACATTCAGTGACACACAGGAGCTCTTTCAAGCTGGGCACCGTTTCATTCACAACACCTGTCCCATCAATGAGGAGTCAGAAATACTTTAATAATCCCAGGGAGAAATTACTTTAGTTACATGACTCCATCTGTAATAGAGTGACTATAGGCCCAGGTTGATAGAACCCTATTTCATACACTATATATAATTAGGGGGTCCCCGCTCCATCTCGCCATCAGTTTGGAGATCCATGGCCTGGAAAACATTGAAGGCCCCTGGATTGATAATTGATTAATCTATATATTATTGTTTCCATCAATCAAAAAATCAATAATTCCAGTAATTTAACATAAGTTACCTTGGAATGTGGAAATAAAAATGTGTAATCCTGCATTTCATATGAATAGTAAGTTGCAAAAACATGAAAAATATACAATTTAAATACACATGAAAACTTACATCCCACAAATTTGGTATAATTACTGCTCTAGATGGGTCGCTCTGTCAGCCAAAGGCATGTTTTAAAGCCTCTACTCTCCAGTTAACGATTAATCGATTACTAAATGAGTTGACTTTTATGTCAAAAATCGATTAATCATGATTAATCCAATTGTTTCAGCCCTTATATAAATTGAAAAATATTTACATTGTTTCCTGCTGTGAGTGATTACTACTTTAGAAAATGTGGTGTTTTACAGTTTGTGCACCAACAGTCTAGGTAACTACTCGATAACATAATTACTTGTTTTTAATAATCCATTAATCTCTTAAATAGTTTCATATCACTGAGTCCTGCTTTAAGTGGCGTCTGTACCAACCGATACATTATAGGCCCTGCACGAACCATAAGGCCTGAGCAGCGTGTAATGGAAGCCTCCTTTTAAAGTGAAGAAGTGGGCAGGGGGAGGGGGCTCCAACAGGAGCCTCTTTTCTAACAGCCACACAGTCAGGAGGGGGTGGGGGGGTAAAAAACACTGAGCCCTCTTCCTGAATCAGAATGTGATGGATCCAGGCCACCCTCTACCTACCTGATAAGAACTTATCCTCACAGGTCTACCCAAAGTGACACCTTAGTGTCATTTGAGAGGAAACACAGCGTCTGTAAAACCTTATCTGTCAAACAGAGCGAGCTCCAAGCAGTCTGGGAGGTCATGTGACCGACCTTAGCTGGAAACACACTAAACCTGTATCTGCAGCCTTAGAGGGAAACTGATATGAAATGGTTTTCCGGGGTTAACAAGTCTCTACTCACACCAAGGACTCTCATAACCCATAATGAAAGAAAAAGAATGAGTTTCCATTTGGGTTTTTTTATGGATCGCACAATGTGGAACCCAGGAACGATAAATAGTTGTTCTTTCAGATGAAACCCGTTTTCCTGACTACTGGCACCACAACAAGCCATAAAATGGGTTCCTCTCTGGATCCAGTCTGTTTACTGCTCCAAAGAAAGGCGGATTCCTCACATCTATATGAAGAAACGACGAGCACAAAACAATGAAGCCCTTCTTTAACTGATTTGCATATTTCTCTTAAAAGTTTTTACCATAGCAGCAGATTATCATCCCCCCCCAAAATCAAAATAATAGTAATAAGTGAACCGCCCCCAACACACACACTTCTGCACAAGAATCCTGATTTAGCACTTATCATAAAGCTCTGAACAGCTCCTGCAGGATCTCTGCAGAGTGGCAAACCAGCGAGGTCTCCTGGCAACATGTTTGCCCAGCTACAGGCACACATGGTTTCAGTTAGGGGTCTGCACCTATAAACAGTCGACCATGGCAGTTTTTTGGTCAGGAAGTGCAGTGTTGACTGCAAGTCAAGACAGGCAAAAACTGCTAATGAATGACTCTCACAGTTTAGCCGATAGCGCAGGTTTGGATCGGACGCATTTGGAGCTCAGGAGAGAAGCGACTTTCTGCTCCTAAGATGGTCTGAATCTAATCAGAGTAAGGAAAATCAAAGGGTCAGCAGAGCTCTGCCGAAGGAAAGCCTGGTTTACGGATACCCGGAGAGGGAATTAAATGCACCATGGCCATATCGACTCGGATGCTCAAAAAGAGCAGACAATTCCAACCCAAGACAATTTATTGCCATGCCAAGAAAGTGTTTATTTATTATATTTTTCCCATCAAACTAAATCAGAAAAACAAACATAATAACCCCCCCCCCCCCCCCCCCCCCCCCCCTCAAAACAAAAAAACAAAAAACAAATGTATGTCTGTTAGTTATTTTCTATCAGGACACTTTTAGTGGCTTCAAACACGTCGTGTTTCTCTTGTCCGGTTAACTCCGGCCAAATGGATCCTCCTAACAACGACATATCAGCCCAGACCAAAGCCTACATCATAACTGTCACACAGACAGAAAACACAGGTTATAAACTCTGAACTCTTCTACCCATCCCATCCAGTTTATTACCTCGGAGAAAACAAAAAAAAAAAAAAAGCTGTGCAACACAAACAAATTTATTTTCTTAACTTCTCAGAGTGTTTTATGAGAGAAGTGGTCAGAAGTTTATAGGTGGCAATGCCGTGGTACTTTACGGCTTTTATTGCTCTATTTAAACCCATGAATTATTTAACATCAATGTTGGTTTGTTTTTAAACATTTGTTTGCTCCATTTTGAATTTATTGTAGGATTCCCTCTAATCCACAAAAGGACATCAAAGCTAAACAATCACCCTTCTTATAATAGATGCTGGAGTTTTGGGCTGCAGGACATATCGTAATCACAACATCAGAGCTTAAAGGGCAGATTAGACTTCTGCAACCACACACATCAAATGTTGTTTGGGTCTGGTCGCGAACCACTTTTGCTGGTATGCTTCTGCACCATCGGTCTGGAATTTCTAGGGATGCACAGCAGTTTCCCGTCAAAGCGCAAGGGGGAGCCTATTCGAGAATGCGCGAGAACTTCGGCGGATGGTCACGAGTACTTCAGCAGCGCTGTAGTGTTTATCTTCCAAAACAACAATGGCGCGTCTGCAAGATATCACGGTCACAGAGATGGATCTAGAGTTGCTAGATATGGAAGAGGAACAGGTTCTGTTAATGGAGTTGGCAAAAAGACAAAGGAGGACACTTAGGTTTTCCATTGTAGTTGTTCCTCGGTTTTTAGAAATAGTATGCCCTGGCACCGAATCGAGAAGGACGACCACACAGACAGCCGGAAAGGAATTCCAAGGACCAATCACAGCTGCTTTTTCTCTGCGCACTTCCGCTTGAAGTCTGCGCGGGTTTATGATCGTCCCACGTGTTGTCAGGATTTTTTTTAGGTCCGCAACGACGGCTGCAGAACCTCTGCGCGGGGGGGCGTGGTCACGTACAGAAACAGATTTGACGGCGTCAGAAGCATAAATTGGCCTTTAGGCCACAGATTAATGAGTGATACGGAGAACTCCTGAAAAAATATACAAGTGTAGATGAATGAAGAGGAAACTGCATGTACTATAAAGCAAGGTGGAGGGAGCATTATGCTGTGGGGTTGTTTTACTGTGCCACATCAGTGGATTATTCTCAAAGGATGACGACCTACTAATTCTTCCTCTTTGCATCAGATTTACAGCTAGACGTTTAAAACTTTTTCTAAAAAAAAAAAAAAAAAAATTTTTTTTTTTTTTTTTAAACATAGAAAAGCCTGAAAATCAAAATCAAAAATATCTTGTTAATCTCATTCCAAACTGGACTTGGTTTCCGAGTTGGGCTACTGTATAAAAGCTCAAACTCAAAGCTATTCCTGACATTTGAACTGAAAAAGGTTCCTGGATGGGAAGAGAAACGTCTTCAAACTTAGAAATAAAGTCCAGGAGGTTGTTTTTAATTTTCTGGAATGACTATGACCTGGATGACTGACAACCTTCACCAGCTTAATGGATCACTCATAATATATAATGTCGTTTAGTAATAATGAATATAATTACAGTTATATGTTCTATTTTCATTATATTAAGAAAAATAAACACTAAAACAGTAAGAATAACTTAATTAAATAAATAAAACATCACAGCAATAAGCAGCCTATCAAAGCCCAACCTGTAATATCAATATTTAAGTAAATAATCCATTAAAATTCTCTACATATAAGTATATATATAATTTACATCACTGTTTTAAGGAGAAAAAACAGCTATTTGATATGTTAACAAAACACCCAAGTATTATGATTAAACTTTTCCTTCTTAACTAATTTCTGCTAGTTTTCAGCAGAGAGCTCAATGGAAAAAGTGTTGTGGGCTAACATGAGCTGCTAAACATGTAATACTCTAATAATTACCGCTTTCAGCCATTAACAGTAGAGTTAAAGTTGGGGGGAAACGGTTTAAAATGTTTTTAGTGTTTTCTTTCCGGCGGCAGCCTGTAAAGCCTCACAGTTAGCAGCCCTGCTAGCTCTGGAGACAAAAAGTTTTTCCACAGATCAAACTTTTCTTCTGCGGCTCGTGCGTAACAGGAGCTGCCGTTAAAGCCGCTCGGCTTGTTTTCTCCTCCAGAAAAAAAAAGAAAAGAAAAGAAAGAAGAAAAAAAACGACACTAAATGGAAAAGTTCGGAGCCTACCTCCCAGTCTCCTCCGCCGCTTCCCGGGCCGTCTGTAACCGCCGCCGGACCTCCGAAGGGCCGCGGAGCTTGGAGGGGAGAAGCCGTTAGGGGTCCGGAGCGCCGCAGCACCGAGGCCCCGGGGCCCGTGTTCTCGAAGCAGCTAGAAGCGGAGGCGAACCGAGCCGCGGCCCTCCGCTGTTTGACACAGACTCCTGGATAACTTAGTGACAGCCCCCCCTCCCCTCTGCAGCCCTTCACTTTTCTCTTTTTCCTCACTTCCAGCAGATACGAATCAAAATACTGTCACAGAATATGGCGGCGGCTTCAGCGAGCTGCTATCGCGAGATGAACAATCTGTTTTCCTTTTTTTCTCCCCCCTAGTCTCCAAAGTTGTGCTGCTGAAGGAGGAGGTTTTACAACAGCTGATATAAAGTTAAAATCTCTATTCTCATCTATATTTGATCCTTAACCCTTTACAGGGACCTCAGTAAAATACTTTGAAAAATGTCTTTAAATCCACATTACATGAATTCAACACACTGCAGTAAACAGATAAATGGAGGGAGAAGATGTCTTTCAGTCATCAATGCACACATTCAGAGACACACAGGAGCTCTTTCAAGCTGGGCACCGTTTCGTTCACAACACCTGTCCCATCAACCAGGAATCAGAAATACTTTATTAATCCCAGAGAGAAATTACTTTAGTTACATTACTCCATCTGTAATAGAGTGACTATAGGACCAGTTTGATAGAACACAATTTCATACAGTATATTTAATTGTATAATTGTCCCCGCTGCATTGCCATCAGTTTGGGGGTCCTTGGAAAATGTTGAAGGCCCCTGGATTAAATGAATAAAAAGGTCACACCTGCTCTACGTGAACCTGTTGCTTTTTGAGGGTGAAATATCCCTTTGGGCATGATTTGAATGAAGGAATACCACTAACCCTTTATAAGTCACTCAGTGAAATCCTTTGAAAATCCAAATTTCAAGCCAATAGTGTTATTGGAATCCAGGACAAGACCTTAATACCTTTGTAACATTACAAAAATGTTGATATTTTCATGGCAAAATTGAATATCAATGTCCCCGGATATATTAAGAAAAATAACAAAAGTACTTCTATAAGAAATTCGTGAAAGAAACAACTTTTCTTTTGGTCCAGCATAACCTTGGAGGCATTAATGCTGATACTGGAAATTAAATTTTTTAGTTTATAAACCTCAATATAATTGTTAAATTGAATTATTAACATTTTAACTTTTCAATCAGCTTTTTACCTTTTTTTTTTCTTCATTACATTTTCACACAAGTATCTGTACCTTCTATACCTTACATTGTTAATAAATATAGAGAAATGATTTTCAATTTTAAAGGAACCAAAGCTTCCTGTTAAATCCAGAACCAGAATAGAATTTAACTTATCTACAGTAACTATGAAACACTCGCAGTTATCTAAAATGTGATACGACTTAATTTAAACATTATTTATTCCTGATGCTTTTTCCTTCTCAGTGTCAAAGTTTCTCCAGAGAGATTTTATATTTGAATATGATAAGCCAGCTTCAACTTTCTATGTTTTTAGATAACTTATCTTTCAAGACTAGGCTTAAAACTTTCCTTTCTGATAAAGCTTATAGTTAGAGTGGCTCAGGTTATCCTGAGCTATCTCTATAGTTATGCTGCTATAGGCTTAGACTGCTGGAGGACATAGGGACCCCCATTTCATCATTCTGCTTCATTCTGTCTCTATTCTCCCACTCTGCAGAATCTGTTAGTTCAATCTCTAACGTTCTGCTCTCTCTGCTTTTTCTCATAGTAGCTTTATCTGGTCTGTTCCTGTTTGGCTGTGACTCCATCCTGGAGAGAAATATCAGCTGTGCTGCTGCCATCAACACCTTTGTTTCTAGATGTGTTTCCCCTAGACGGGGCCGCCTTTTACAGCTGCTTTTTGTGTCTCTGCTTCTGTCTCCTTGAACCCCAGTCGGCCTCAGCAGATGGCCGCTCACACTGAGCCTGGTTCTGCTGGAGGTTTCTTCCTGTTAAAAGGGAGTTTTTCCTCTCCACTGTTGCTACAAGCATGCTTAGTGTGAGGGATTGCCTTCCAGTCAATGAGTCGATGCAATCAACTGGTTTTCCTTAGATAGAAAACTTTAAATCAATCTGACTGGATGATCTGGTGAACCGTAAAGTGCCTTGAGATGACGTGTGTTGTGAATTGCCGCTAGACAAATAAACTGAATTGAATTTCCAGTTTTGTTAATATAGTCCCACCACCTGAGCTGTGGTTCAGTTAACCCCCCCCCCCCCCCCCAGAGTTACCATCTTGGCTGCTGGTCCGATTTAAGCTATCAAAGCCTATTTCCTTAAATCACAAATTAATCATAAGATGCTGGTGAAGATTCTCAGTCATCCAGGTCATAGTCATTCCAAACAAAGTTAAAAAACAATCCACTGGACTTTGTTTCCAAGTTTGAAGATGTTTTGCTTCCCACCCAGGAACCATTTTCAATTCAAAATGTCAGAAATAGTATTGAGTTCAAGGATTTGTTGGTCCACTCTATAAAGCCTCAAACTCAAAGATATTTCTAAGATGTTTACAGCTCGTTTTAATACCAAACCCTGCCTTGAACTTGAACCTTGAACTGTTAAAGAAGAGCTGTTAGGGTTGAGGCTTCTTTAGAGCAGGGGTTTCCAAGCTTTTTGGACGGGGACCCTGAGTTAAAGATGCCACAGAATGGTGACCCCTAAAGATATATAGTAATTATTTCATTTATTTATCTAAATAAGAGTTCTATCACCTGGGCACTCAAGCACCAGATGGCTTTTTGTAACGTTTACAAAGGGCCCTTAAAAGTGGGCTTAAATTATGTAAGAAGCACCTAATGCAGTATAACAACAAATACCAGCATTAAAAGCTTTGGACTCTTTCTTAAAGAATATTTGGTTTGATTTTCAGAGCAAAATGATGCTACAAGAACCAGTTAGGTCTTGAGATTTTCATTTGTTATCAATAGCTTAGAAATATATATATTTTTTTACATCAAATAATATCTTATGGAAAAAAAATTCACACTAAATATATTGAAATTTAATGAAACAGTAATAAACTGTGTTTTATTAAATAGTTATAAAATATTTGCAACCTTTACTCAGCCAAATTGGCTCTTTGGATTTCAAAGGTTGCGTACCCCTGATCCAAATATATCAAGCAGATTAATAACATTACTTCTGAAATATATTTTTTAAGTGATATCGTCAGGTAGAGTGGAGCTTTAAAGAAGACCCAATTCAGACACTGAAGCTGAAGGTGGTTTTTATTCAATTTAATAGCAAAAAGGTGGCAACTGAAGCAAAAATCCAAAAAATAACGAAATGCATAATTACCATAATACAGAAGGACATCAGGAAAAACACACGCAAGGAGCCAAGAAACGACGAGGAACCAGCAAACAGTGACTGAACAGGAGGTGTATAAATGGGCGACTGAACAAAGACAAGGCTAATCAGCAGATTGGGAGCAGGTGTGGACAGAGGAGTCTAGAAGGGAGCTAGGAGAAGGAGACTGGCAACAGTGGGTAAACAAGAAATACACTAGAAAATATCACCTAAAACAAATAGAATAACTCTAAATGGAAAATGGAAAACACAGAAAGACATGGATCAAAGTATAACTGAAAACTCAAAAAGAAAAATTTAACAGAAACAAAAAGTGCAGAATCATGACAGATAATTAGTTATTTAGCGAATCATTTCCAACATATTTTTATTCATAATAATAACATTTCCTTTTTGATTGTAAAGTTTACATTGTTACAGTATATTTTATATTAAGATGAAATATTTGATAAATAAATTAATGTTACATATCTTATGGTACATGTCTATTTATTTCATGGGACATTCATTTTTATGTTAATATTGATTTTAAATATTTCTATAGAATCTGGCTATCTATATTGGTCAGGGATCATATTGTAATGATTGTGAAATCGATAACCTCCCCAGGGTGCCCTGACCCACGCTTTTGGAACCCCTGCTTTAGAGGAAACAGTTACCCATGATTCCTTGGGTCTGCTGAGCCTATACTGGTCTTTATACGTTGTCCTGGAGACAAGATGATTTTTAACAGTCGTACCCTGAGTTATACGGAGGCTGAAAATAGGTCATGGCATACATGAATATGCTATAGACTAATGAGATGAAATATATGTTTTATCTAATACATGATTCAAATATTAAATATAATGATCAATAAAAACAAAATTTAATAATTAAAAGTCCTATAAAAAAGGAATTAATGTCATTTAAAACATACAATTATTTAAAAATGCATATGATTACTTCAATTTATAATTCTAAATGAAAATAAAGTGAAGTTATTGTTAGTTAAGGGGGTGGGCCCTGTCTGTTCATGCAGAGGCCCTCATGTATGGGGCCCTCTGAAATAAGAGGACAACAAACTATGCTAGACTATGTAGATACATTCAGACCTTTAATGGAATAACTGTTTTTGATTTTTTGTCCCTCTTTCCTGTCTGTTATTATACATTCTCTCTCTCCTTTTTACTTCCTTTCCTTTTTTTTTTACATCACCTTCCTCTCCCATTTTATTTCTTCTATTTTCCCTTCCACTCTTCTTGTTGATTTTGTTTTTCTCTCCTTTTTTCCTAAACTTTTTTCTACGTCTTCTCTCCCTTTTACTCAAATTCCTTTCCATGTTTCTTTTTGTCCCTTTTCTCATCTTAGAGTGAAGATGATCCATATCCACTGATTTAAGAACCCCACAGCATGAGGTTTTCCTAGAAACACAGCAAAGAAAATATGTCCAAACAGGTGTCCGCTTTGCTTTTGTTGCAGGTTGTGTGTTGCCAGGGGCTCCACCAGGAATTTGGGGCCCCATGAAAACATTGATATTGGGCCCCACACACATAAAAAATGTATGTTACCCCAGACTCACACCGACTCCGGTCTTACCGTTGCGGTGCGGTGGGTGCGGCGCCGCAGTGATTCCAAGTCATTAAAAAGACGTAAACCTCTCTCACCGGCTGCTAAGCTGTCCGGCTGCGGTTACCGAGACACTCCGGCGCTGCAGAAAATTCCGTAAGAAAGCTATCCTTGCGGCGTGCCGGAGCCCTCCGCAACAAGCTCTCGCAAATATCCTTATTTGGGCCGTGTTATCGCGTGAAGTTACGTGAACTCAAGTGAACTTCTGTTAAATCTCCGGACCTGTTGCCGGAGCCGCAGAGCCGCACCGCACCGTAGTCAAAAGGGCGGTGTGAGAGGGTGTGTGCGGGAGTTGCGGTCTCCGTCGGCTCGGTAACCGCACCGGAGCCAGT